ATTATATTATATACAAATACAAATAATTTTAAATTTTTATGTTCTTTTTTTCCTTTATTTTATTGTTACATAAAGAGGTATGTTTGTGGATACGTATATACGACGTTGAACATTAAATGACATTGGCTCGCATTTTTCGTACACTTCGTTCGACCTAGAGTCCTAGATTATCAGAGAAGCGCGACCGGTGTTACGAGTTCTGATTGGACTTGCAAATGGCCAATCATAAGATTGATTTATCGGTATTATAAATGGCTGTCGAATAAATCAATCTTATGATTGGCCATTCGACGCCATTTTTAATATTTTCTAGTACTTTTGCGATACTGCCATAAGCCGGTCGCGCTTCTCTGATAATCTAGGACTCTACACACACCATGTTATACTTCCACCATGCTCGCTCCCCTACCACCGGTCTCTGGCGCGGGCAGCGGACTGCGGAGCACATCCGCTTAAGAACTGTGTTACTCGGAACAACTATTTCAGGTTAACCATTCACTCCCTGGAGCATCCCTTACTCCTTCTGTAAGATTTCTCACAGGATCCTAGCTGTATCGACCCGACCTCAGGGCGGAGCCATAACTCAAGAAGAAGAAGAGAGCGGTCATGCCCGCGATTTAGCTGGAACGGGCGATTAAGCTGGTTTCAACGCCTCTTACCTTATATTAATATACGAGGGCAAGTCAATAAGTTCTTAGAAAATCTGTCAGAGAGCACTCGCAGTGTCATGTCACATTACTTTTTGACAAGTAGCATCTTTTAGCCGATTACTGTCAAATTTTGAGTAGAATTACCTGTTAGGTTGCTATCTATGTAGAGCTATTTTTGAAAAAAAACTAAAAAAAATTTTTTTTTTATAATATATGCATTATAATACAAATTATGCAGATAATCTTATTTATTATATTAGTTTAAAAAAAAACCAAATTCCAAAATCTGGCTGTTATATATTCCACAGCTCTGTAAAACATGAGTCAAAAAAGGTCATGGCAAAATATTGCTTCTATACAAGAAAAAATTCAATTTTATTTGCACCGCGAGTAAAGAGTAGATAATTTTACTTATTTTTAAAAATAAAATTGTAAAATCCATCTTTTTAGCAGTTTCATAATAAGAATCTTAGCTATATTTTTTACCTTCGTAAGAAAATAAATATATAAACGAGAGTTGGGCCAGTTGCTCCTGTCAATCCTTAATAAATGTAAATAAAAAATAAAAAATAAATAAATAAAGTTATAGCTAAATAAAAAATAAAGCAAATATAATTAATTTAAATTTTAATCCATGAAGAACTAAAGACAAGAACTAATCATATTAAAGAATTTTACAACAGTTACAAAGTTGCTTTTTCTGCTAAATGCAGCCTCAAATTATGTTATTTTCTCGTTTTTTGTTATTGAGATATTATTTCCATGATAAAATTTTCCATACTTCTTTTTATAATAATTATAATAAATTATAATTTCACATTTTAAAAAAATAATTATATAAAAATAGTTAATTCTTTAACATAATTAACAAAAGTAAATTATTCTAATTAAGAATAGTAAAATTTATTTATCAATACATACATGAAACATGAATTTTTGTATATTATAGACGTAAAATTATTTCGTCTGTTCTTCTGTCGATTTTATTTTACCGAACAATGAATTGTACAATTCATTTTTCGCATTGTCTGTCCACACGTCACGTATCGTAATAGGTGCCATGAAATTAATTAACTTATTGTGAACATTATATCGCACCCTCCTGCCCTTCGTTGCACGTGTGTCAATTTTTCTTTTCATTTTTTTACGCATGTTCTGTAATTGGATCCATTGTTTGCTGAGCTGTATAGGATCCGTCACGTCCGACGATTTATATTCTATCAGGTCCCTTATCAATTGATGATAGAAATCGTAATCGTCATAAATTTCTGGATCGTACTCCTGAACTCTTCTACCATCAGTGTCCTCGTTTGGGAGAGACTTACCAACGATATTGTACTCGGAACGCTTGAGTTGAGTTCTCCTTCGCAACTTGCTTACATCGTTCATAGCAAATTCAATTTGTTTCAGTGTAGTCTGCCCTGAACTCTTGCTTATCGAGCCTGTGGCAATCCGCGTTTTGTCGTTCCATTTCTTTATAACAGAGTCTCTGTATTCTCTATAGGAATCATGATCTTTTTGTAGAACTTTTTCATAGTCATTATATTTCAAACGTTTTCGAGGTACTGATTGCTCAACCGCTTCTGCATCTTCATCAGTGAATGATTGCTTTCCGTTTTCTAATTCATCTTCAGTATCAGAACATATTTCTTCATCCATTGGATCATCTGTGTTTAAATTCTTATCCTTGTCGGTTTTCCTCTTTTTAACATCATTACACAGATTTTTCGTTTCAGGATATTGTTTCAATAAGACATTTTTTAATCGTAACATATTCCTCATGATTAGCGCCAAGTTGGTTTTGGTTTCATTGACCTTCTTCACAAACTCTGTGTCCGATCTAAGTTCTTTATATGTATCATACTGTGGCATCTCGTTACTAATTGTAACACACTTCTGCAATTTTATCCGCATCTCCAAGAAATTTTCCCACAGTTTCAGCTGATTCCTGACATAATTGCCTTTCTCTATTTCTGTTCTAGCATTTGTTTCAGACATCGTTTTAATAGTGGAGCTTTCCTGTTTATAGAGCAGATCATTATCCATGTCATAACCATCTTCCGAATCAGATGTACTTTCTAAAATATTAGATCCCTCTTTCGAATTTGTTTCCTCATTGCTGACTGACCCATCACTTTCATCATCACTTTGCTCCAGTGTACTTATCTCTTCATCCTCAACATCTTTCTCAGAGCTCTCACTTTCCACATCTTCACTCATACTATCGTCCTCATCGCTAAATATATCTTTCCTCGAGATCTTTTTACCAGCATACCTGTATTAATAATGCGAATAAACATTTTCAAAATTACGCATATTAATTTTTTCATCTTTAACACGTACAAATATAAAATGCGTACAATTTTTACCTTTTATCCACCTTCTCCAAGGTATCAACATTTTGTCTACGAATTTTAGAGGTCTGGAACTCGTCATCTGAGGCATCGCTCTCGCAGTAAGGTTCTACTAATTTCGCCTTTGTATCCTCCGGCTCTTCATCCGAATCAAAATCTGGTATTGTCGTAATTAAAGCATTTATTTTGTCAGCTAAACTCTTTCCAGCCATTCTTCTGCACTTATTTAAACGATTATAAAACACGTGTTCATAAATCAACTTAACCTCCAAATTACATACATATATGGGCTGCGTTCCGCAAAGCGCATTATGCGCAAGATTTATCTTTTTATCTTTGTTTACATTTGATGAACAACAAGGATACCATGATATATCATGCGCATGATGTGGTTTGCGGAACGCAGCCATGGTATGTTCCATGGTAGAAATACAAGGGTATGCTCTTGCGCCAGCCTCGTAAAGCCAGACAACCAATGAGAATTGCAGCTTGACTACGTCATTATTACGTGGCAAATTCAAACGCTTAAAGATGAAATAAATGATTATAGTAGCGTCAATATATTAAGGAATAAGAGAAACGATTTCACAAGAATGATAAGTAATAAATATTATTGTATCACATCAGTTTATATATTTCACACATGTAATTTTTGTAAAACGAACAAATGTATTATGTAAGTGAATGAAATTAAGTTAAATAAACTGAAATGAAAGAAATAATGAAATTACAGCACCTAAAAAATTATGAAAGTTTTTGGAAAGGAAAAGAAAACCGTAGTTGTATAAAATTATATGTAGAAACTCAG